CATGTCAAAGGCCCCTTCAAATGCATCCTTCTTTTCTCGGGCTGCGAAGGATCCATCCCAAAATTCATTCTGTGGACCTTCGAAGGATGCAGCCTATAAGAGCTATGAAGATCGTTTCCTTCAAAACATGCAGTCCCTGAATAAGGAACACAGCTAATAAATATTCCCTACACTTCATTCCTCTACATTTACCTGGGAGTTCCACAGTGTCTGGGGAGATCTGCAAGAAAAGAGTTTATTTGCCACTCGTTCATTTGTGCACTTTGTACCGAAGGATTGATCATTACACATTTCTGTGAAATCTGCTCCACCTGTCCAACCACTGCTTCGCAAATACTGTTCTCTGTAGATCTACCCATATAAAAAAAATAAACCTGTACCACCAACCTGATCTTTGACCTTCCCCAGGGAAACAAGTATCTGTGTTGTGATGTAAAAGACAACACATTGTTGGTGCAGTTGCCTCGTGTAACTCTGTTACTGCCACTGAAATACCTACATATGTTTGTCACGTCAATGACAATGATACAGACTTAGAACTGCTCATATAAGTCATTGGTGTAAAAAGAAGCAATAATTTTATTGTGTAGTAGGTGGTTCAGCTGGAGTTTTGGGCTACTTTTCGCTACCATATTCATAGCAGGAAGGACGTCACATAAATTGTTTAGGGCTCAATTTCTATGGTTTCGCTACAGAGAGATATAGCTTAAAGCAGATACATTTGCAAAAACCTGTGTGTTATTCAGTAGCAGACAGCTGGTTAAATGCAGTCCATGATTCAAATCCCAGATACAATGTGCCGCCATAGCATTAAACAAGATTCTTAAACTTGATCCCGCTGGGAAAAATATCCCATTGTGGAAATGTGTTAAACAGTATTGCCATAAGTTGCAGGTTATAAATAGCTGTAAACACCGACATCTGATTGTATGTTGAGAGGAATGACTCGGGAAATGTAAAGGCATGTGCAGATATTGTGAAGTCTGTGTATGACTTTTTACTTCCCTTACCCTTAATTTGATCTACTCACCGCTGGCTCTATAAATATTTAGCTCCAGAGCTATTTAGTTGTTTATGGGTTTTGGACAGAACGAGTCCTCCTGACGCAGGTTACCGGGAACATTTGCGGTTCAGAAAACCAACGTCAATACAATATACTTAAACACATACTTACGTACAATATCCATACACACACAGGTGTGTGTGTGTGTGTGTATATATATGTATATGTATATGTATATGTATGTTGGATTTTATATATGCATTTAAATATGTATTGCAGACCAAAAGGAAGGTCAATGGGCAGATTAGTGCCTCGAGGCCCCACTTCATGTAACTGCATTTATCAGTTGAATTTATATTTATGTAATACACTTATGTATGAAATCTTACTTTTAATAAAGTATACTTTCTTTATTCAACCTTTCTGGTGCCAGATAAGATCACAATGATTAAGAGGCTCATATTGCATGAGAATTCCCTCTCTCTCTTTCTCCTTCTCTATCTCTCTTCCTCCTTCTCTCTCTCTCTCTCTCTCTCTCTTTCTCTCTCTCTCACTCTTCCACTCTCCCCTTCTGCCACAGTTAAGAGAAATGATTTCCTTGCATGCACCCTTACTCGAGAGAATTACAGAGGCTGGCCTGCCTATACAAACACAACACTCCATTTTTTACTGGGAACAGATGTTTTCTCGTTACATAAGAGCGAGACTTGTCAGCAGCTGTCTCTCCTGGCAGCCTGCGAGAGGCCATGGGTCATGGGCGCCCACGTAGGAAGTCATTGAGGAACGCCGATCGGCAGCACAGTCCCTCCCATCCTGCCATCTCTTTTCTCTATGCTGTACCACCATCGACAGAAATATAATGTGGGTTCTCAGGGTTGCCATTGTACGCTTTATAGTAAGCATGGTACACAAGCTGCGGAGGTGCAGAACATTTGCTTTAGATAACATAATGCTTTACGAGTTATGATAGTCAAAATATTGGTACCCATGCACTTTCTTCAAACAATTCGGCCTATATTCTATAACATTTTTTAGATTAAAAAAATATCCATATGTAAATTTGTTGCTGCATTCCTTTGGATTTGCAGTGGAACAAACCAAAAACGCGATGTAATTTACAAATTGTACCTCATTGTACCTTAAAATGACCCGAAAAATATCATTGGCACCTTCCAGAAGCACTTAGATTTAAGGCAGGTGATTCGACTTCACCTGACTACAGAACTCAGCTGTAAGCTGTAGCTGCCAGCTCTATAAATGTCACTCATTCAACCACCCTGAATGGAGGGAAAGGATTTTCTCTCCTGTTTTTTGGCACTGTGTGTACAACAAGCTGCATATAGAAAAGAAAGAGAAAAACAAAAAAAAGAAATATCTCAGGAGGTGAGAGACAGGCATGTAGCCAGGAATGGATCTCGTGGATTTCCTCCAGAGAATTAATCTCCAGAGACCTAACATAGGTAATGTCATAAAGAAGTTTAGGCCGCTTGGCCATATAACCAAACTCCTTGGATGGGACTGATCATCTTCTGAGTCTGTTTAAAAATCAGGGAAGATTGTAAATCAGCCTGGAATGCTGTGATTATCACCAGTAAACTAAAAATAAATCAGGTGTCATGTGAATATTAAAATGCTAACACCTCTTTCATAGTTTTAACCCAGGTTCTAATTACACGCATTTATCTTAATCAGTGTCAACCCTGCTGTTCTTTTTCTCATTTTTTGAGAACTGTTTTCCAGTTATTTGAGAAAAAATAGTTATATGAAGATCATGTTCCATACATAGCAATACAGGAAAAGCTGATTAATAAAGAGTCTCACATGATACCTTCAGTGTCTGCTTGTCATTGAGGAAACCGTGAGTAATGTCTTCTGACTGAAGGGGCCATTCACGTGCTACAGTCTAATGGAGATTCTAATAACTGATAAACATTGCCATAGCAACAATAACAGGATTCATTGTTTCATTTATGAGAAAAACAAAAAGGGGCGGCATGGTGATGCAGTGGTTACACTGTCGACTCTGGAACCTGGGTTACATGTGTGTGGAGTTTGCATGTTCTCCCCGTGTCATCGTGGGGTTTCCTCCCAGTACTCCGGTTTCCCCCCACAGTCCAAAAACATGCTGAGGCTAATTGGGGTTGTCAAATTGCCCATAGGTGTGTGTGGGTGAGTGAATGGCGTGTGAGTGAATGGTGTGTGAGTGAATGGTGTGTGAGTGTGCCCTGCGATGGCTTGGTGTCCCATCCTGGGTTGTTCTCTGCCTTGCGCCCGTGGCCTCCAGGATAGGCTCTGTACCCCCCGCGATCCTGAACAGGATAAGTGGTTTCAGAAAATGGATGGATAGATGAACAATAAAACAATAAAAAATGACCAGTATGACTACAATAATCAAATACATTTAATAAAGTAATGGGCCCTGAATAAAAAACTGAAGCAGATGAAATGTGTGTCTGAAGGTCATACAAAGTAAGTTTGGGCAAAAATTTCAAAACCCTCCAGTAAATCCTGGAAGTATATTTAATTGTCACACAAAAATCAAATTATGATCTTCACAAGTATCTCAGTAGTGGAGATTCTTACAGTTTTTGGGATGGGCTTCGAGCATAGCTATGTGTGTGTGTTTTCCCAGCATGCACTTGGGCACACATTCAGGCATATGTAATCAGGCCCTCAGGAAAAAGCAGAGACATGCCGAACATTAGCCTGCAGACAAGCTGGATTTTCTTAATGCTGCAGGACTCCAGCACAGCAGCTCTTTTGGCAGAGTGGTCGTATCCTTTGCACAGAGAACATTAGGTCACTCCGGTTCTTTCTAACATCCCATTTTCATCAAAGCAGGCCACTGCAGAAGAAAAACCCTGATGCTCAAACTGAGAATAATTACTTTTCAAGCCAAGGGAAATGATTACTTATTTTGACTGGAATCAGTGGCCCAGAAGACCTGGCTTAACTATATTACTTCACTCAAAAAGAAATAAAAATAATAATTTCGGCGTGAGACCTTTGTTGCAGTGCCAAGGGGAACCAGCCAGGGAGAGGAAGTTCGTTATTCTGGGACAGGAAAAAGTGTTGAGAGAACTGACGGCAAAGTCAGAGACGCAGAGAGATGGCTTTGTTTATCCACGTTACCAAATATGGTCTCCAGCAGCCAAGGCGTGCTCTCTCTCCCAATCCTAACTAGGAGGGCCCAACGTTGCAGTGCACTGTAGCTCCAGCCCTGCCCTGTCCTGTTTTTCACTTGCTGACTGACTGGCGGGAGGGGCAGGAGGGATCCGGCTGTGGTTTCTTTCAGACTTCAGATTCCGGAGAAGGAAAATACCCAATTTTCACTGACCAAGCAGATTTCCCTTAACATATTTATTTAGCTCTTTAAGTCATCCCAGGCTTCAAAAGTTTTTTCCACCAAGGTTTCTGCATTGCATGTATATACTTATATAGACTTTAAATACTTTTGCACACAGGACATTTATTTTTTCAGTAGATGTCCATTGGATGAATATGTTTCCTCAAATGAAACAAACTCACCTTTTTTCCAGTCATATTCATTGCCAGAAAATGGATACATTCTCATATCTGGGACTGGTCAAATCCCCACATTCATCTTCAATTGAAGTATCCTTGCATTGAATTGAAGTGTCCTTCCAGTAAGATTTCATATTTTGGTTTTTTACCATTTTCTAATTTTTGTAAGCTTTTCCTGTTGTTGATTAAACGACATATCAAATCTCATTAGGAATGGTGACCTTGTACTGGATAAGAGTTTGGAAGATATATAAATGTAAGATTAGAAAAAAAAATACCATAGTTGTTTTTAGTGCCAAACAGTGGCATTTATGGTTTCTGTAAAAAATATACTATATCTGTAAATGTACGATTCAGGTTGTCATTTCTGGCATAATTTTGTGTTCTGTAAATTTGGATTTCACATGTGAATTTCTTAGATCTCAGATATTTAGCAACCATTTAGACAAGTAAGAACCATGAAAGCCATTGATTTTGTGTAAACATATTGTTTATTGCAATGTGCATTTTGTATCCATACATCATTGTGAATACCTGCAGTACGTCTTATGGACACAATACAGCAACAATACCCCTTATTCTGTAACTCCAACTGCTAACAAGACTTCTCCCTGTGAGTATAACACATGGTCCTAGTTGGCTTGTGAGTATACACTGAGCGTCTTTGGTAGCTAGAAAACATCTCATGGGCTGAAAACGTATCTCTATTCTCAGATAACAGTCTGACACCCATCTTTTACCTCAGTTTCAAGTTGGTGTCATCAGCTCTACTGAACATAAAAATCAGTCTTATATCGGGAGTGCACCTGATGCAAAAAAAATAAAAATAACTCCATTATCTCCATCTCCGTGATTCTGAGTACTTCACTTTACACTATGTACAAATTTACAAAAACTATGCAAATTTGTATCAATTTCTTCCACATTAAAAACACCTCATCTCATGACAGTGACAAAGTTCCTATTGACGAATCAGCTTTGCTGTTCCATAAAACATCGAAAAAAGCCAAAGACTTAATTTCCCCCACAAGCAGCAAGACCCCCGCTGCAGAGCAAGAAAAGCAACGTGTTTTATAAGGAATCACACAGTAATCAAAAGTGGGGCTGAATGGATCAGTCTTGCTCAAGTCCTACTCCTGGGTCCTTAAATCCAGGTGGTTCTTTCCCCCCCACTTTCCTTGATTTTGCTTAGAAAATGACTAAGGATAAGAGAAGTTTGATGAGGGAACGCTTCAGTAAGGGCCTGACAGCCTGCTCCAGGAAGAAGAAATCCATGGGGGGGGCTCTTTTTGAGCAAAAAGATGGAGGTCCACGCTGGAGATCTCCTTGTCAGTGGCACGGTTCTGTGAGTCGGAAGACATGCCGCTCTGGGCACTCCAGGTCAGGTCTCTGGACCAGCCCCATCACATTTTCCCTCTCCCCCTCATTGGGCTTTGGGGGGGGGGGGAGGGAGAAAGCCTCCTCCTCCTGGAAAAGGCACTCCTCCCTATCCCAATGTAACCCCTCGCTGCCTGCACTCTCTTTAACGCTCTGGTCTTCAGAGACTTTCGTTAAACAGAAAACAGGCTCTGCCACTGGAATGTCCATTGTTATCATTTTGTTTTTCATCAGCATGGCCAGCTTCATTGAAGTTGCGCGACGATGCGACTGGAGGTCTAGTTCGGCTTGAGAGCAGTGGCTCTGCCCGCCCCAAGGCAGAGCCACTTACACAGCAGAGCCCGGGCTGTGTGGCGATGGCTGGTCGGCCCGGTCCGCCAGCGGGTTCTGTGTCGGCAGGCTCTCGTCTGAGGGCAGCCGGGACTGGAACTTCTCTAGCTGCTCTGGGCTCGCCAGGTTCTTCAGCAGGCTATTTTCACGCTCCAGCTGGTTGTTCTTTTCTGCCAGCTCCTTGATCTGCTCCTTAAGAATCTCCACCTCTTCTCTGACCGCATACATCAGGTGGTTCTTCACAAGATCCTGGACAGACAGAGGACAGTTGCGCCTTAACTCCAGTAATGAATTGCATGATAGTCGAGCCAGAACACAGGGAAACATCTAAAAGTCACCCTGGGACAGAAACTGAATAAACACACCTTCTAATGCAACAATGTCTGCTTGCATGTTTCATTTGCATCAAGTATGGTCAGTGTTCCTCAATAGTCTGGAGTAAAACCTACTTAACAGTTCTGAATTATCTATTCCAACAGAAAACTCACTGCAGTCTTGCTATTAAAGAAAGACTGAATCTGATCTTTGCTGCAGGCATCAACGTACTGCTGTCCTTCTGCAGATTTTGGCTATTGCTGTTCTCTTCTCTGCTATCTGCACTGCAGCAGCAGCATAAGTATGACATCTGCACAGCCCTGCCTCGCGCGCTCCTAACAATGCAGCAGCACTGCAGCACTGCTGTAACCAATGACCGCTGCCAACGAGACAATGGGACGTGGGCTGTATCCAGGAAACTGCATGCACCCCCACAGCCGCAAAATGACCAGCTTCTCAGCACGTCATCGAACATAGTGCGTCTACCAAACTGCAATTGACTGCATCTTTGTGCGTCTTATTAAACGATTTGTATAGTTCTCACTTACCATTGCTTGTTCGATCTTGTTGTCAATCGCAACAACGCTAGCACCAGAGGCACTGTAAGGGGGGAAAAAAATCAAAACTGTAAATAATATCCAAGCATTTCACTGCCACGATCCAGTAAAATACACAAAACAAACAGCGTTGCCATATACGTAACAGAGCTATCTACTGTAGGCTGTTAATAGGCAGACTGCTAATGTGCATAATGCTGTTGCAACGAGTATATGGGGATTACATCAGCACGTCTGCAGAAGCGAAAGCTTGGGAAAGCTTTAAAAAAAAAACCGATCAATTATATCAGCAAACAGAATTTCCCTCAGACACTGACAAAACGGCCGCGGGGCTGATCCGGTCACATGCAGCCCCCCATCCAGCCTCCGCGCAATAATAGCCGAGTTCCGATAGCCAACTACCATGTGAAACGCAAAAATGATAAATACCTCCATTAGATGCGAAAGCATCGTTACAATTTTAATCCATCCAAAATTTTGCGTTGCAAGCGTACAGACAATACTGACAACCGAAATGTACCTTAAAACCGGAATATTCTAGCTTTACGGTCGCCATTAATAATTTAAAAAATTCAAACAATCCTAAATTCTACAATTTCTAAGCACCTATTAATATGAACATTCAACCCTATGTATTAAAAATAAATACGCAATTCGCATATTTACCTGTTGTCGAGCTTTACTGATACTACATCCCCTCCAAGCAACGAGGAAAAGAAAGAGATGGAATAGTTATGCAGCTGATATACCGCTACCTCCATGGGGGTCTTGAACATCTCTGTGCTCATGTTCAGGATAAGACCCGTCTGAATAATGCTCCTCGCCACGTTTGCGACTGCCACTTTACCGAAGGAGAGGTCAGGTTGCCGTTCTGCTTTGTTTTGTTGAGAGTCTGTAGGGCGGCTCTAAGTCTGAAACCGGACGACCTACTCGTGCTTTGACTGTACTTTCGCCGACTGCTTCTATTTCTGAGGGACGTCCTTATATACCCCTTGTCTGACGTCACATCGCGCACTGCCGACGTCTGCATAAAGTATGCAAATTAGCGTCTCCTTACCTGCCCCCTCTCTGAACTCCGCGGGAGGACGGTAAACATCTTACTGACCCGTAGACCCAGTCGTGAGAATATGTACGCGGCGATCGAACGTCTGTTCGCTTCGGAAATGCTCTTATTTTCCGTGCAAAAGTCCGTACGTTTACATGCATTTGTATTATTCATCAGTATTACCTAAGGGTTGTTGGAGCCGTGCTCCAACAGGGTATAGTTGGAAAAAGTAATGCCACCCTGATCAGAATAAGCGTTTAGAACCTGAAGGAATGGAAGTTAACGCACATAACAAACTAAAAAATAAGGATAATTAAAATACTTACGTATTAGCTTGTACAAATGTAGAACCTGCTGGTATTGACTCTGAGGGTACACGATGTACTATTTGGAGTTTAACTTCCTGTAGCATTTCACCGCCCTGATGAACACGGACCCCAGGAGTTTCTTTTACTGCCGACCGGTTTTAAGCTTGAGTTTGTACTTTAGTTTGCCATTCACCCGTTTTCCAATCGCTTCATCTATTTAATCGTTAAACACCACCATAGTTTGGTAGTCTCACTTTGTTTCTGCAAGCCGGGGTTTGCAGACGTATGGTGCCCCATTGATATACACGTGCTACATATATTCAAGAAAATTTTGTATGCGACTTGAAGAAGTATTAAGAAATCTAAATTTAATTCTAAATCTGAAATGTGAAATATATTAATATAGTTTTTCTCATTTGTCTTATTTATATTTTATTTTCTCGTAATAAAAAAATATCTATACCACGTTTTGTTTGCAGAAATCACAATTGTCATTGGAGATAAATAGTAAAAGCGTGTTGTTGTTTTGTAAAATACAAGTAAACAGGGATTTTCCATTTTTCAGTACGGTAATTTCCCCTCTTGCCCTTTAGGGATAATTTTCCCTCTAGTGGCGAAATTAAATACTGCATATAGTCATTTTGTATTCGAGAAGTTACAAGTTAATTCGCACAATAAATGACCAACCAATGTAACAAAGTAAATCAGTACCCCTCTGTATTTAAGGCATTGTTGTATGGATTTTCTTATTAGAATAAAAGTAAAGGAGTACTTTTTTTCATGCCAGTGGGGAAACTGTGTACTTTCCACAAATTCAATATTGCTGAGAAAGATGGTCATACTGTACATATACATTCAGATAGGAGCAAGCCAAATATATTAAGGTGAGAGTGCTTTGCTCAAGGGCCCAATGGTGATAATAATTGCAGGGTACAGGATTTGAACCGTAATGCAGTGAACTACACACTGCTCCTAAAAAATAAATACACAAATAAAAACTCTCCTGTGATGTTAGTGATGTATTTAAGATGTTTCACAGCAGCTCCTGTATGTCCTAGAGGTGACAGCAAAGCTTTGGTACTGGGTAAAACCAAAGTGCTTAATTTACAAATGTTATTTATGGCAGGTAGTGAATGATCTTATTTATGATAGCCTCAGCTGCTGACCAGAGCAAATGTAACATTATTTTCAGAATTAACATCATCATTATTCATTATTATTCAAGGCAAACAGGTCTCTATCATAAAGGGACAGAAAAGCCAAACTTTTCAAATATTTCAGATTGCTATCGACCAGAGGTGGCAATTTCAGGTCCAGAAAATAAAAATCCAGACCATGATTTACTTTCAACTAACTAGTTGAGCATAAAGAGTCACAGTCACAGAGTACTCAACTGGTTGGTTGAAACAAAATCTTGGTCTGGATTTATACTTTCTGGACCTGAAATTGTTACCTCTGCTATCGACTGAGTAAAGGTATTTGACTGTGTGAATAGAAAATCAAATCTCCATAGGTCACACAAGCGACATGCATAAATCTCATTAAGAATGTCATTAGAATTTGCAGGTTGCCCAAGTATATTTTTGCTGCCAGTTATATTGTAGTGGGTAGTGGGAAGTTCACTGGTTCAAACCTAGCCTCAGCACGTCTGTGGGTCCTTGGGCAAGGCCCTTAACCCCCAGCTCCCTGGGCGCCCCAAGGCCCAGCTCCCTGGGCGCCCCAAGGCCCTTAACCCCCAGCTCCCTGGGCGCCCCAAGGCCCTTAACCCCCAGCTCCCTGGGCACCCCAAGGCCCTTAACCCCCAGCTCCCTGGGCGCCCCAAGGCCCTTAACCCCCAGCTCCCTGGGCGCCCCTTCACGGTGGCTGCCCTTCACAGACTGCCTACTCTACAAAGAGCAAGTTGAGGGAGGAATGAGGCAATGCCATGAGGTAGAATGGGGTGCTGGTTGCACACTGGTTAACAGCACGGGCCGCATAACCATGACCCAGGGCAGCACCTCTACCCATGCTGTTCATTTTTATGATGCTTGGTAACGGTGTCGGTCTCGTTAAGGCAAGCAGCTACCAAACATGAAAATCATACAGTACACAAGGAGGTGGTGAGGTATGAGCACCGAGAGCAGTTTGTGAAGACTTCAGGGCATAAAGTTGATGGAGTACTCTGACAAGCTGAGCCCATAAAATTTTATGCCGAAGTAGCTGGAGTGGCCATTGCGCATTCCCACCGGGGTGAAACAGACGTGGTTTTGTGTGCTAAATCCCCCAGATCGGACTCTAAAACCTGTTGATGCAAAATATCAATGACTGGGCCCATTTATAGCTCATCTGACTTAAATTGACCTTAAATGGCAGAAAATCAGATTTTTTTTCCAGCGGGTGGTGATTTTATTTGGTACATTCCTGATGAAACAGTGATGTCTGTTACTGCGCTGAATTATCCATCCCTTCAGGCATATTATTAGGGATCCAAAGCACGTAGTCCTTATGGAGCACTATTGTTTTTGTTAGGAGTATTATTAGTATTAGTAGTAGTAGTATTTATATTGTTATACAGTACAGCTTCCCCTCATTAAAGGGGTTGTACAGAAACATTATCACTTCTCAATATGATGCATCAGACAGATGTTCAAAGTAGAAAATTATACATTTCATTCTTGCACCTGTTCAAGCTAACACGCGAAATGTGCTCGCTTCGACTTGTTCACATAATTGCGGTCTCACTGCATCGGGCTCGGCCTTGTGGAACTATTTTAAAACAATCTTGTTCCAATCGTACACTTATAAAAAAACATTATCCTGAACATATCTGCGGTCAAAATCATAATCAGTACCCAGTACCATACAAAAGCCCTGATTGCTGACACAGTGACTACATTGTTTTCCTATACCGTGGGTCTTCTAAATGCCCTAACACATCCTAGTACCATTCCCTCATTTACCCACAGTAAATCATGAAACCCAATGACCAAAATCATTGTCTGTGCTGACAAAAGAGGATGGTGTATGAAATGACTTCTTTTATACTGTATGTTAGCTTGCACTGGCATTTTCTGTGGTTAGCTGATTTAAAAGATGACCTTGATTATATATATAAACAATTTTTGGTATATTTGTTTGTTTGTACCACAGTAGAAACACAATTATTTATTATTATTAATAATAATAATAATAATAATTGATACTTTATTGATCCCTGTGGGGAAATTGTTTTTACGCCTCCCTCAACTTGCTCTTTGTAGAGTAAGTTGTCCGCGAAGGGCAGCCACCTGCTGGGGCGCCCAGGGAGCTGGGGGTTAAGGGCCTTGCTCAAGGACCCACAGACGTGCTGAGGCTGAGCCACACGCTGCCCCTTATTATGCCAGTATGTTGCGAAAACCCTGCTGTAGGTTAATTTCCAGTGCATTACTGACAGGCATTCAGTTCATGTTTGCTGTAACATAATTTACTACAAAACTGAATTTGTCACTGTATGTTTACATTCTGTACATTTCTTGTTGAGGAATCGTAAATTCAAAGAGCCATAAGTGAACGGACAACTGCGAATCGGACAAACACTGAAACTTCATGAACTCATTTCCAAGTCATTTTGCCATCACTATCCCATGATCCTGTCCTGACAGAGGATGATCTGTCCAGGGAGCAGGCAGGACACAAAATCAGACAAAAGGATTCGCTGTTTCAGGGCCTTGATCCATTATGAAGAGTGCCATTGTCTCCGGCCCTGCCTCCCCCCCCCCCCGCCCCCCCGCCTGTGCTTGGTACCCGTCTGTTACCCTCAGGTGTTCTCAGACTTCCTACAAACCTCCTTGGTCCAGTCACAGTTATGGCTAGCTTTCACCTCCTGACATCTCCTTCAGTCTGTTCTAGAAAACAACTATTGTTCACTGTTCTTGGCAGCTGAGACACTCAGTGCCGCAAGGTTCCCACGTGGAAGAATTCCGGCAGAAAGAAAAGTCCAGAAAGGAAAATATTTTAGTATTCATTAGATAAACTGTGTTTATTTTTCAGAGATATGTGCATGGAGGGTGGCCAGGGCAGGGCCGGGCACAGCCCAAAACGCAACCCGGTGGATTACAATCCACTTGCAGTGAGATCGCATGACAACTGAACATAACAAAGGTACAAGCACCAGACAGAGGGAGCACTGGAATACTGAAGCGGTGTGCTACTGTCCTACCAAAGACTGCTGGAGACAGCTTCTAACACACGGTCTTCTGTATACAGACCACTCTGTAAAATCTACAACATTCTGTTCAGAGACTGTAATGAAAGTATTATCATATGAGATATTATCGCTGTAATAAAACATTTTGCAGTAAATACTAGCCATAAAGTATGACATAAGTGTAATAAAGAAATACTTCATCTCCACAGAATAGCACATTTTTTCAGAATGTTGACAAATTGAAGGTATTGCACAAAAAGTAGGCTTGTCGTACTAATGCAATAGATTACCAATATCTATGTTTTTATTTAATAATGTAAATATTTAGTGGTTTACCTGTTTCTACTCTTATAGCTGATTAAAATGTGTATGAAGTGCCTCAGGCAATATATTGTTTGTTAGATAATGCTAGAAAAAAATACTTGACTGATAATTTATGCGTATCAGACATTTTAGTCTTACATAATGCTAAATGCTCGGCACAGTGATAGAGTTTATGACGGTAGGTTTGCAGCAATCCAGGGCGTGCTCTGATGCAAGCCCATGTGTTTTATCCACATGGTGTTTTATGGTTTAGTCAATAAAAAAATTATATAATCAGATTTGTGAGAGCATTGGTTAGAAATGCACTTTCAAATAAATAAGGTAATGTGCACTTATTCCTCAGCCTTAGAACCTACCTACAATTGGAAAAAATAATAAAATATGAAATTCATTATATTTTGTCATGGTTATATTAAAATACGATGTATTGGAGCTCATAGGCAGACCTTAAGCAATCTGATGATCCGGAACTCTAACTTAATTAACATATAAGTAAATCACAAAGTCAGTTAGATTTCATTGTACTGACAAACTTCCTTGAAACACACATTGCTGCCTAGTGTCATCTGAAAACAAAAGTCAACACTTGTTTACTTATCCTTCTTTTAACTTTGTCTCACCATGACAATCCAACAGCATGCAGAAGAACTTGTTAAATAAATGCAGCTACGTCTTTGTGGAGCAGAACAGCATACAGCCACTGCGCACCATGTAATCAGAACCTGACCATCATTCGGACCCAACCACACAATTACCACAATCGCGATAATGAGTGATCTGCAACAATCAGTGAACACCTGCCAACAAAATGAGTCCCAACTGCCCTGGTGTATGCAAGAACTTACCGATCCCTCCTTTTGAAAAGACTAGGGGAGTACGGAGGTTGGTAGCT